TCTCTCTCTCTCCTCTCTCTCTCTCTCTCTGGTCTGTCGGTCTTTCACGATCTTCCCCCTCGACGGGTGCGGAGCAAGGCGGGAAACAGGGGAAGGGAATCGAGGATACCCGGACAATCGAAACAATTCGCGAGGGTCGTGTCCGAGGAATGACGGCCGAAACGATCCCTTGGGTTGGCGGGGCGTTGGGGCCGCCCAGAAAAGCAGAAGAGCACGTTGCACAGAAACGTTGCACAGGAGTTCCGGATTACGTTAGGAAACATCGCTACGGTGAGTCGATCGCATTATGCGTTACAATTGATGGCGTCGGTAGATGGAAGGTGGTGTGGTTAGATGATTTGGGTATGTTCATGAGGATTAACTGACACGATGAGACACGAGCCGAGACCGACGGAAGAAGGGAGCAGAGGTTAGAATAATTTACAAGATATTTCTCCCCTCGTACGGTCGAAAATCCTTTGGAGAGTTTGCCGCGGTCGTTGCCCCTTCAAAGACATACACAGAAAATGCCACCAGGAGGAAGAAGGAAATGGAGCTGGGACATGGAATGAATTCGCACGCGAATGAAATACAAGGAATGAATATATTGCATTTCAGTTCCCGGTGCACGTTACGTTGGAGCAGTAGTACGGAGCGTGAGAGAGCGCGTCAATAGAGCGCCGGCGTCTCTTTAAAGGAACCGTGGGAAGTACTCGTAAATATATGCAGAGCGCGTGATTAGTGGTGTGACCGGAAAGGTGGAAAACGCGAAGAAAGAAAAGTAGCACAATCAGAATCCGGACTGGCGGCCGTTAGTCACCCGTCCGAGGTGGCCGCTGAAATTAAATTTTATCGTTTCTCTAGATCAACGGTAACGAGTCAGCAGGAGCACTGGCGTCGGCAAATTGTAGAATAATATTAAGATTCAATCCGCCGACCCGACCGCCACGCGAAAGGAAAAAGGCGAAGGAAGATTAGGTTTATTATCGGATCAATTTCGACCGATCTCGAACTTGAATTCGGCGGCGGCAAACAACGATCGCGAATTCGTAGCAATTAAAATTAATCAACCGATAATATTACCGTATTGGTCAACGGCTTGGAGGGCCGGTACAGGTCGGTTGTGGGTTCGGTGTCGTGGCGTGGCGGTAGGTTACGTGCGCTGTCGTGTGCGGCGCTTGTTCCCTCTTGAAACTTTCAAAACGCCATTTCACCCCTGCTGCCGCTCCTCCCCTCAGCCTTTCATCCCTTTGGCCCGTTCGGATCGCTCCTATTCGCGGCCGCGGGATGCGCGCGTAAAGACTGCGGAACGACTTCCGATTGCTCAGCGACCGCACGCAGTGTACAGCAGCAGGCCAGCACCACGGCAGGACGAAATGGAGCCCAGCGCTGGAGAAAAGGAAAAAGTCGTAAGAGGAACTTGTGAGGTGGGGTATTCCGTGCGCGCCGGCGCTCGAGGCGATATAACCTCCTCCACCGTCACTGAATAACGCGAGCGAGGGTAAGGAAGGACTCTCTCCTCCTTCCTTCTCTCTAGCAGATCATCTTCTCTACGTCTCTCTCATCTCTCTCCTCTCTGTCTCGCCGCCGCGAGCCCGTCAACGTCCGGGCCATTCGTCGATTATTCGCCGACGTACGGTAAACGCACCGAAGCGGCCTTACCACGTGTTCTCACGTTTTATCGAATATTGATTTCGAAGTGACCGAGCGGAGGTTCAACAGACCCGCGAGTGACTCCCCGGCTGATCGCGAGCTAGGTTAAAGAATAAGAACTCCGATTAATAACGGAAGGCGAGCGCCGCCACGGTCGGAGTACGCGCGCGGCCGGCGGGCGCAAACACGCAAAACAACGGAACCTAGTCGCTGAGAACGATGCACGGGCCGTACGCTAAATGGAATCTTCCGTCGACAATTTAAATTTGAGAATGCAAAGAATGGGACGGACGAGAGCGCGGCCGACGCTGTGAGCAGAGAGGAGAGTGAGAATGCGATGAGAGAGAAGAGAGAGAGGGACGAGATGAGGAGAGAGAGAGCGAGAGGACGTGAGAAGAGAGGGGGGCGCGGCATGCGGAGACGAGAGAGAACGCCGCGACGAATTAATTGACGAAAAATTCAACGTAGAAGAGTATGAGAGATAGAAACAAAATACTTCTCCGCAGCCGGCGTGACCGGAACAATTGGTCGCGCAGACAGCCAAAAACTGTTATTCTCATCAATGCCCCGCATAGTAGCATTGACAGAGAGAGAGCACCTGGCCACAAAAGGAAAGATGATTATCAGAATATTCTTTTAGGACGACGAGCCCGTAGAGATTTATAGTTTAGAGAAGACAGAGAGAGAGAAGAGAGGAGAGAGAGAGAGAAGAGAGAGAGAGGGGCAGAGAGAGAGAGAGAGAGAGAGAGAGAGAGAGAGAGAGAGAGAGAGAGAGAGAGAGAGAGAGAAGAGAGAGAGAGAGAGCGATGAGGCAGAGGCACTTTTTAACGGTGAGGCACTCCAATTCAAAGGTAAGCCCGCCCTGGCCTCTGCAATTTTTACACCCCGGCCCGAAAGAACCGAGGAGAGTACGATGACCTGAGCGCCGGCTCGCAGCGTACCTCTCGAGAAATCGAATCTTCTCTCTCTCTCTCTCGTCTAACCCTCTCTCTTTTGCGAAACACACATGGTCGAGCCCGCTCATGAATTAGGATGGCAATGGAGTACAAGGTTTATATTATCCGGGGGGCGACGAAGCGTCTGCTTAAGCGTTCCTGCCCTCACGTAAACAACGGGTCCTCTGCCAAAACTTTCGTTTCCGCATAAAAAGGCTCTCGCGACTAAAAAGCAACGGCCGTCCAAATGAAAAAGGAAATAAGAAAGAAAGAGGGGAAAGTTACAGAGGGACGGTGTAGAAGAGAGAGACCCGAGACGAAGACCTCGCTCCATCTAAGCAAATGCTGGATTAACGTATTCGCGCGCGAAACGCTTTTCCCCACGGCTCTCGCCGTGAATATTAATTAAAGATCTTTAACCTTCCTCGATCTGCCGATAGCGCACCGTCGCGTAACGCAGTAAATAAAACCGATCGCGAGAGACATGATGCGTCAGAAGTGGACAATCCGCGAGGTAGCGGAGGAGGGGAAGCCGATCTCTTTCCGCGATTGAGGCGCGCGGTATAACCGCCGTCGGAATTTGCGCGGGGATTGTTTTCGCGCGAGATCGGCTTCAACGACTGCACTCTGAGAGAGTGATTCGCGTGCAAACAACGCGATCCCTACCCCCAGTTAGTGTTTATTAATCGACGGCCTCTCTCTCTTTCTCTCTCGCATCTGAAGTGAAAAGAGCGAGAGCGAGAGAGAGAGAGAGAGAGAGAGAGAGAGAGAGAGAGAGAGAGAAAGGGACACTCTCTTTTCCGGGGCCGCGGTAGTCGTGACGTTCTCTTTTTTTCTTCCCCCCCCGTTTTTTTTTTTTTTGTTTTTTAAGTAAGAACGACCACGCTGCGCTGCGGAGGGGCGAGCGAGATCCGGGTCGGTAGAATAGTTATCACTCCTCGCGCGTATTATCGATCACAACCGTTCTCGCAAGTCGCGGACTAACCGCGAGGTCAATGTCGTTATACCGTGGGCACAAAGTAGAGTCTCCCCGACTCCGTTGTAAATACACCCCTTTCTCTTCTCTGAGGACAACGATCCGCATTCTCGCCGGATCTGGGAGATCCGGCTCGCGTCACCGAAGGCCAAACGCCGGCTCGCCGGCTCCGCTGAATCTCCAGACGATCCGCGTAATCCCCGTCGCGGTGCGATAACAGAGATCTTCTCTGTCGCGCTTCAAACGGACGGGCGAAATTCTCGAGAAATGTCCAACGCGAAATGTAATCGAAATAATCGCGATCGCGGCACATGGCGGCGACGGCTCGCGTTTGGCGTTCGAACGCATTCCGCGTTGGCGTCCGCGTTTGGCGCTCTCGACCGCTCAGGATTCTCGTCTCGTCTCGTCTCGTCTCGCCAGACGGGCGAGGCGACTCGTTAACGCTGGAAGAGTGAAATTCGACTCGGACGAGGGACGCGTTTAGTAGCGGTGGCGTGTAAACGCCAAATGCGACCGGGTCCGATTTCCATTTCGCCGGGCGTGCGCGCCATCCTATTAGGACGAATAAATCTCGGGCGCGGCGCAGCGCACACTCTCGGCGACCTCGATGCAGCGGGGCGACACAATTTACGAAAATCACATTCACCGCCTATACTCGATTTTCTCCCACTTATCGAATCTTTACTATAAGCGTTGTACCATAAAAAACAGAGAGAGAGAGAGAGAGAGAGAGAGAGAGAGAAGGAGCGAGAGGGAGAGGCGGAGGTAAAGAGAAACGAGCTCACGGCGCGTCGTATTGCCCGCTCTTAAGCGGTCAGAGCGTGAGCCTTCTTTCCGTTCTCCTTCCGACAGAGGTGCCGAGATCCGCACACACATATATACACACACATGGGGAATGATCGGCGTGTAAATATTATTATTGTCATGCGCGCGTGCGTGGACGAGCGAAGGGGAAGAATGTGAGAGCGGTAGGACACGATGCGTCGTCGAGGGCGTTTCATCATCGCCGTCGTGTTTCAGCGTGGAAAAGGGAAGGAAACAAGCGAACATATTATCACTGACTCGTCTCGAACCGAGCGGGGAGAGGGCAGTTCTCTTTCTCGAGAGGGAAAGAGAAAGAGAGAAAGAGAGAGAGAGAGAGAGAGAGAGAGAGAGAGACAGAATCCCTGGGCCATAACATAGATCATTAATAATAATAATAATAATATTAATAACAATAAAATAATAATATTAATAGGGATATTCCAGCGTTATTTTGTACATAAACAACTTTATCAACGGATATTAAGAAGTCATCAATAAATCTATATATAAAAAAAATATCGTCTGAACCCGGTTGTTCGTTTCCCCTTCCCAAGCTTCCTCCGCTGGATTTGATTTAATTTTCTTGAAAATTAGCAACGAGCACTGTACGTCATGGTGGTGCACGTCGTTTGTTGCAAAGAGTAAGATGTGAAGAGATTTAACACAGTCTTTTTATTCGGATTACAAAAGTCTGAAACTACTCGAGTGTTTGCTAATATTTTCTCTGCAGTCTTTGAAATGCCCACGAAAAGTAGCAGGTTTGGGTGAACCTCGCGTTTTGCATGCACAAAGCTTTTACATATTCGCCATTATGGCGCTTGAATATTCGTCGCCGAGGAGGTCTCATCGCGGAGTCAACATTCGTGAACAGTGTTTAGCGGTGCATTTAACGCTAGATATGGCTGTGCCCGATTCAGAATTTCATTTATCTAATATGGAAATCGGATTTTGCGTAAACACGGGAAGAGACCTCAGGTAGGGGCTGCATTCGATGTAATGTGGCCGCGTTTGCGTAATACGAAGATCACATTGGATGGTAAACACGCGATCCGGACAGTCAGATTTAACGCCGAGCGTGGCCCTGTGAAAGTACGATCGAACGCTTCGTTTCGTCTCGAAGAAAATCGGACTCTTTATTCTAATCAGTGTTACACACATGTCGCACACTCGAACAAGGAGATGCGCATTATAAAGTAACATCGAGCCGTGGAACTTGTTACGGACGAAACTATGCTAAATTTTCCGCGTGAATAAATTCCAGCGCGACACCGCAAATGAAAAGCGGGACACCGTCCTATATTCTGCATAATTGCGTTACGATAGGACCGCCGGGTTCCGGTGGCTTCGAGAACAAAGTTGTGCATGCATACAGCATAATTCGCAATGGTGAGAACATCGTCCGATACGATTCCAAACATTGACTTCTATCAAAAGAATCCAATAAATAAAACAAATCACTCGTACTACTATTTCCCCTATGTACAAAAGGCTATACTTATCGTGACTGTGTCATGCTTTGGTAGCTTGCTTAAATTAAAATCGCATATAACTGGCGTCGTTATAACCATGACCTAATTTAAAAACGCACCATATAACAGAAAGAGAGAAATCATCGGGAACGCAACGCTCTGGAATGTGTCAACACAATCAAAAATGAAACTAAACTTCATTGAAAATTTGATCCAATCGTGAGTGAATATCACGAGGATATACGATATGTACACATATACGTATTGAACGACCGGTAACGTTTTAAACGATATATTGAAAATGATTCACCAAGTGATATTGTAAGCGTCTAATCTACAAGTGGATCATTATTTTTTCTTTTCTTATCGGATTTTCTTCGCAGTTCTTTGTCTTTCGTTCGTGAATGAGATACAAAAGCCATGTTAATGCCGATGTCACAGATTGCATTCTTTGGATTTGGTTGAGGTCCTGGTATCATTCCCGTTTCAGACTTGTCAATCTCTCAAACGGTAATTACGAGGCAAGTTACACCACTTCGCGCACACAAACTACGATCACAATCATATATCGATATCACACAACTTTGTCGTGGACAGTTAATTTTTTTTGGCCATCGCGATACCCAGGCCCACGATACTTGCGATACCGATAATAACGCCTCCCGCGACAGCCATACCGAGAAGACCTTCTGTAAAAAAAAGAAACAAACGAGATTCAACGCCAATTCCAATCACAAGACCGTGATTGCTAAGCTTCTCAGAGATATTTGAAAATTTAGTAGTGTTAGTAGATAAGGAATCTCGTAGATCAGTTGATGTAATTATCTGTTGAAATTACACAAGACTCAATCAATAGCAAAGGGAATATGAGAGACATCACCAACAAACATGAAGATATTAAATAGATCTTTCATGTTATCGATATAAACTTTTATTACTTATTTATACAAAATGTACACAGAGGAAATGGTATAGATAGATGGACGGAGCAAAGAATACAGCGATGAGAAGAAACAACTGGCAACAAAGCAAAATTTACTGGTTTGCATATTAAAACAAAGACAATGTCAATGTGATAGTTTGTACTTTATCATCAGAAAGAAGAAACGAAGGGATCAAGCCAGCAGAGTTAAAAGGATTGGAAACATAAGAAGAGTCATGGAAGAGGTTATGTTGTGAAATTGTTGCAGAAGAGCATGCAACATATATTTGTTATTCTCCCAAAATCAATAGCAAAGTCTTTTTGAATTAGCATGAATTATAAACACATAAGCCTATTAAGTGGAATAAATATAGAATTTAGCAACCCAGGAAAATAGGAGGACTATTAGAAACAACCAAAAATAATATGACTGCATAAAAATGTCACAAAGACCCCTCAAGGATAATGCTCCTAAGCAAATTATGATTCTGATTTTTTTAAGCCGATAATAAATTATGAAAGGGAAACCTTTTTCCATCTTCTTCTTGATCAACGTCTCCAATTGTTGTACTTGTATGTTTCCAGGTTCAACCTGAAGGAACGCCCTGACATACGACAATGCTTTTGTATATTCCTGTAAAGAAGCAACAATTCATGGTCAAGATCCTTGAACATCCTAAGAAAATCCTTGTTCCTATTGAAACATCAGACACCTATGTTCACACAATTACCTTTTATATATCTTACCTTTATTCTAGCATTTCCAATAGCCAAATAGTAAAGGCAATCACGCCTTTCACTACCTGTCTGCTTGCTATAGAGATCTTCTAATAGCAGTATTCCTTTCCTAATATCAGCCGAATATTTACTTCTCACAAGGCACCAGGCATATTCAAATTGTGCTTTTTGTGAAACATCCGCCGAATATAATTGTTCATGATATAATCGTTCAAATTTCTAAAACGTAATATAACGGCTGTGTTACAAGGTGACGTAATGCTCACATTGCATGAAATTGTTTTATTAATAAGCCATACTGGTTTTTATAAAACATAAGCCGTAAACAGAATGTCAACTCTATTACAATATATTCCAGGAATAAACTTTGCAACGTAGATTACTCTTAATGAAACGTCACGATGACGTTTCTCTTCACATACGTAATTCGCCGAATGATAATTTAAAGTCTGTAAAAATCCTCGATTTACAACGAATCGTTCTACGAAGTATTTACGTTCTTCGACGTGCAATAAAACGATACGAGTGGATAAAAATCTTTAAAATAAATAATATCCAGGAAAATCATGATGATAACCTAACCTAACTTTCTGACATCACGTCGTTATCGCCGCTTTTTGGCCTATGATGAAAGTTCACGACGAATGCGAGAAACATGACGAAATGCGAACGATATTGACACAAAAATCTTTCGTGCGATATAATTACCTTTAAATCCTCGGCGGAAACGACCTCGTTTAAAACGTCTTCCATCTTCTCGGTCGAACGCACGTAACCAGAACGCTTTATCGAGTCGGGACTAATTACTACACATATACTGAATAACCGGGAAACGTACGAGATGGTAACAGGTTACAGGTACATCACCGAGCGATTGACGTTTCACAAAGAGAGAGAGAGACGCGAGACGTAAAATTCTCGTCCCGAGGTCACTTTGCGAGATGGCGCCATTTATGAATGTTATAGATGCCGCAGAGAGCTAACTGATGAGAATAAAATTGAGATTTTCGCGAGATTCCCACGGTTTTCCGTAATTCTTCGATTTCAAGGACGTGTTTCAAGTTTGAAATTGTTAATTGAGTAGCGAAATTATTGAGTTTCTAAGTAACATATATATAATTTATTTACTTAACTTTATCTCCAAAACTACTGATTTAGCGTGCCCCATTTTTCATATGCAGCAACATTCACGTCACTGCGATATATTTCGATATATCTTCGACTGACGCAATTGAACGCCCTTTCAACCGCCATTGCTGGCGCGGGCTGGACGTTCTCCGTCTTCCTAAAGAAATAAATGCGTTTTGTCGTAAGTATATTTTCATTTCAGTATAAAATATTATTGCTATAATGTGCCACTAAATCGAGTAATCACGGTAATAGTATATTTTTCGGGATAACGACGCAGCTCTCAGATTTAATAGCGAGTAAAGTGCAGTGGAATTTTCGAGAACATTATTGCACTTTTTCGCCATTTCACGAAAACGTTTCATCGATCGAGATCTTATGTGTTTTCATACAGATTAAACGAACTGGAAAAAGTGTTCGCACAAGGGAGAACGTAATTTCTACGTCGAATGATTTCATTATGATATCGATAGGTGATTCGCTTTATGTCTTTGACGGTACGCGGTATGATCATGAATGTTAATGAACGCGACATCGATATTAACACGCGCTCAAATACGTCCATTATACTGGAATGTCCAACCATTGAATATACACACACAGATACATACACATGCGCATACACAGGAAGAGGAATTTGTGAATTTCCGTGGGTTTTAGCGTGAAAACATTTATTCACGTAGAAACGATAGAGTACAACAATAGTTGTCCTTCAGGTACTGTTACGGTTAACACAATACTCTCATTAAACACTAGAAAACATCTGATTCAGTCGCCTCGATAGTGAATACAGTGGTAGACCCGTTATAGTGTAATAATCACCATCTATCTTTTCGATTAGACAGCCCCCCATCCCTTGCAGCCCATATCCTCCTGCTTTATCCCTGAAACAAAAAGACAATATAAAAGACTGTGTTACTCTCAACGTCAATACCAACAACATATTACTCACATGGGGTCCCCTGTCTTTATGTATTCTCTTATTTGTTTTTCAGATATATCTCCAAATTTGACTTTGGCTGACTCGTAAAACTGGACTTGACTCTTCGATGTCTTCAAGTAAACACCGGTGTACACGACATGCTCCTTATTTGCCAGGCTAAGAAAGAATATTAGCTGTTACATTCACTTGGTGAGTACAACTTGATACAGATTATTACCTAGACAACATTTGAAAAGCCTCCGTCTCATTCTGTGGTTTCCCATAAACAACATCATTCATCGTTACCATTGTGTCTGCTCCAATTATCAATGAGGGTGGCAGTGCATCTGTTTTTAGTCGTTCATATACCTCGAGCACCTTGTACTTAGCTATATCTTGAACATAATCTCCATGATTATTGTATTTGGATCTATCAAGGTTCTCGTCATATAGGGAAGGTATTACTTCTGCATTTATTCGCTGAATTGTAAATTATATATATTAATAATATATATTAATTGTGTTTTGAATAATCAGTATTCATCAATACAGTCAAATTTACGTTATTTATATATGGCCATATTTACAATTGAGATTATTCAATTGATTGTATACTATATGTATACTGCATGATTGTTTACCAAATGCCTCATTATATCATGTCGCCTTGGAGAGCCACTAGCTAAAATTACTCTGCCACTTGCTAACGCTTGAATAGTCGACTCCAACATCCTTTGGAACGTGCGGGTGCTCAGTGATTATTATTGACACCTATTATCCGGAAACTCGACAATGACATTCGGCACTAATTGCAATAACGTGCCCGTACACGTGGTGGTGCGCAAAATGCGCCCGTAAACACACGCTGGCGGTTGTACCGGTCGGTAACGCGCGTCGTTGTGAATAGCTTTACATGTCGATAATGCTAACTATAGCTGCAGAGGACGCTGGAGTCAAGGAAAAAAAGCATACTACTAGTGCATTTTGATAGTTTGCTTTTACACCGTTTTAATTTTTTAATTTTTTAATTTCGCAAGAGGCTTTTCACCTCGTAGATAAATATCGCGCGGTTGCACTGGCCGGGAGTGAGCATTCTAGATCCATTTTTAATTAGTTAACGAAATATTGAAATACATAAATATGCTGCGATGTTGAATATGCACAATACATATTGATAAGAAACATCGTTAACAATTGAATATCGTCCCACGATCGATTGCGCAATTTTCGCACGAGCGAAATTATTTTTCAACGATCTGATGAAATTTTAGTCGCGATATTTCCGAATAATATGTGCGGTGGAGCAAATAGAGCAGCATCAGGCTTTTCAATTGTACGCTCTATAAATAACGTCTATAAATGCCTATAAATAGAATAACGTTCCCTCAGCCATGATTTACTCCGTTATTATCACCGGGATCCACTTTCCATTCTTCATCCCTCTCTCCGCGAGAGTAGGTCTAACAAAGAAGCATATGAAAGCGTCTCTCGTACCCCGGTTTTAACGGACATTGAATGTGCTGAAGAATAGCGAAAGCAACAGACATATATTTTTATATGTGCTTTTTCGAACACTTAGGTATTGGAACAATTTATCGAAAATTTGAATGACTCGGCAAAATTGATACATCTCTGGATACCACAAAATATATCAGAAAATACATTAAACAAAAAATTTGTATGTTCTATTTAATACTCTTCACAACTTTTGTTTGATTTTGTAAAAATCAGTGGCAGACACTTGCATATGTTTCCTTGCAAGAAAATCCATTTTTTCGTTCGCGTACCAGAGGAGAAGAAAAAGAAATTCGCGTGAAAGATTATTGCGTCAAACGCGTAAACGCATGCCGTATAATCTGGTGCACGTTCAACGTGCATTCGAAAATATATTAACGTTAGAAGGAGAACTATTCTCCAGGCACAGAAGAAGACTCTAATACATCGTAATCGGTAAATTACGTAAATGCCGCATGCCATGAACGAACCTAAAGGTCAGTCAGTCCGAGGCCTTACATAATCGCAAGGCGAAAGGTTGACCCATCTTTACGCCGCAGCCTTCCAGCTGAACAAAGATTTAGCGGCATTTTTTGCGTGTCACCTGCGATTGAATGCCCCGCCCTGGTTAATCATTAAGTAGTCTAAGCGCTTGCAAAATGCTTACATTCCTCGGGAAACAATGCGATTCCGGATCTTGGCTCTCGGTTTTACTCTCTCGCGGCTGAGTATATCTCGAGATCGATAAATGAGCAATTCATTTTTTTCTCAGTCCTTTTTTTCACGGAGACTCAAATATTTTCGCGATATAGCTCCTTTCGTCGCGATAACACATTATTCGTGGAAATACAACCCAATGTCCGTAAATATGATTCTGAGCATTCATTTCACCGTTGAAACCGTTGAAATGGAAATTTCGCGGTAAGAGACTCTTTTCGCGGAACTTTATTTTCCCAATATAATATAATATAGTAAAAATATTGGATCAGATTAAAAAATTCGATCATGCAGTCGTTATTTACTTGTCAACGTACAATCGCTTCTTGCCAACTGCACTTTTCGATTTTCGCGGCGTCCTGTATAGTCGAGTCGCTTGATGGGAAAAAAGAAAAAAAAACAATTAAGGTTTCATCGGAACACTGTTGGGATATCATCGCGTCGGACTTTCGCTGTATTCAATCTTCCCTCGCTCTCCGCAATTGGTCTATTCGGTCGTTGCTGAAATAAATGTACAGTGATTATGTGCTCGCAATTACTCGTTTGGTGGTGAGTCAACAAACGCACGCGTCCGCCTCTAATAAACAATTTCCGTAAACGATTAATCGCTTCAATTCGACGTGGACTCGAGCAGGCCGGTAACCGCAGGGTCAAGTTTACTAACGAGTGCACGAAGCGCGCACGCGCGCAAGCGCGGTCTGTCGATATTATTTATTGGATAATTGCCGCTTAGAGCTTAGAGCTAGGATGAAATATCGCTCTGTTGCCTTTGTTCGCGCGCCCGCCGCGTTTTGATCTGCAATAATTGACAATCACGCTTGCGTAACACGCCGCGGGCTTATCTAAAATCGCGAAAATGATAATCGCGGCGCACGATCGCTATCGCGTGCGGTAATTTATCCTGCTGCTAATGAACAATTTTTAGCCGGCATGCCGCGCTTGCGGCATGCAAATCAGCTGCTTATGATTGGCAGATCAAAAGATAGAAATGTTTGAGGTTGTAATGGCCGAGCCGCGAGATGGCTACAGATAACACGAACGCGAAAATACACGGACGTTTCTGACGTTTTGTGCAGGCATTAAATCATTTTCGCGGAAGCATCGCCGATACAACATTACGTCTAAATCTATCTCGTTTTTTATATTCTCGTCGCTTACATAGCGCGACGAGACGAATATAGAAGAGAGATATATTATACATATTTCCACATGAAATTGGACACATATTTTTCATGAAATTTTCTCATTTTTTCTTAGCGAAGAAGTCGATGCAATTTTCGGGACTTTCGCGAATTGAATTTTGGTCGATCAAATCGATAACAAAATTTTCTTTTTCGATCAATTCCAAATGAACTCCAATAAAATTTTAATTTGACTTTGCTCCAATGACTCGTTACGTTGAAAAACACTCACTATAAAAATAACGACTTTACCCTACATTCTCGCTAATGAAGAATTATTAAAATATTCACGAGGAATAGCGCTATGCAAGTAACGAGTGCGAATTATGGGACATCGTGGTGATATATTGGGACGAAAACATCGAAATATGCAGAGTCGTTTATTCCGATAAAATGTCTGTCATCCAAAAATTGAGATGTAACTCTTTCTTTTTGCACGTTTATATTTAAAAAATCACGTCCAGCATCTTATAACTATCGTCTTTGCGCGATTTGTCTCTTTCTCTCTCTCTCTCTCTCTCTCTCTCTCTCTCTCTCTCTCTCTCTTTTTCCTTGTCAGATAAACGTTTAGTTGTTTAGTTAATTAAAGTTTCGGACGGAGCTGGATCTCGATTGCGGGGCTGTGTATAATAAACGGGAGAGCCGCGGATCGATTTGTCGAGATGTTAGAAAGGAGGAAAACAAAATGCATAATTTGCCGCGGCAAAGTGCATCAGATATTTACGCCGAAGCTGCCGGCACAAGCAGGATATCGCGAAACCAGTTATTAAAAGCGCTTTACACGAGCAGCGCCGGCCGAGGAATCTGTTCTCCCTCTTTTCGATCGAGTCGTCGCCGTCGCGCTGATAACCGTGCGCGTCGCCTATCGCACGCAATTGTTTATTTTCTTTTAACGGATATGTATATTCATACACACGCCGCGAAATCTGCCCGCTCGGTTCAACCCTCTCGCGCCGCGGATGCGCCTGAATATCACATCGCCGATTACACCACACCATAGGGGTAATCCGAAGGACGCTCTCGATGAGTAAAACCGAGCGGCCGAATAAATCGGATAATCTGGGACGAGATGGTTTATGATAATTCGGCAGGGGGCGATCACACTCGTTGAAATATAAATTTCTCTCCCGAGCGCGATATGTCACGTCGTGTAACGTACGATCGGAACTCGTTTGCTATGCGACTTTCGCTTTGCATACGCGCAATTTCTCGTTCGGCTAACGTGAAAAATGAAGAGAAAATTGGAAGGAGAAGAGAAAAGAGACGAGGAAAGCCGCGATCGCGAAACTTAAGTAACGATTCACACTAGCAGCCGCACACGAAGCTCGGTGGTTGCGCGAAAGCGATTTTCCGGTTTTCTTTTCTCGACGCTGCTCGCCCCGTTGCGACGGGTGTTACAAATTTACGTACAGAAATCCGCAGTCCTCATACGTAATTGCAACAATGCCGACTATTCGTACATAATAATGTATAATCTGCGCCTTGATATTTTTCATTGCGGCCGGTCGGTTATTATGTCGCTCCCGCGGTCTCCAGGAAAGCTTCCAAGCGGCCGACCGTAAATTTTCAACAATTACTTGCAACGCAAATCAGAATGAAAATCGGTGCATAAATAACCGCTGATGCGCGGCGCGGCTCGAAACACGTCCGTGCATTTGCTCAAGCAGGTGAAATTTAAACGGATTGACCAATCGGTGAAATTACTGGCGCGCGACCGTCACTTCAACGTCGCGAGGTGAGAAATGACTTAGACGCGTCGTAAAAATATCTTTAGCGATCGAGACCGATGCGTGCGCGCGGTAATTGCGTATGGATATTACACTGTACTTGGCGGATTACGCAACGATATTAGGCGCGAGCCGCGCGAACTCGCAGCGAGCGTAATCGTCGACCCGTCGGTGTCGCTTCGATCCGCGATCGCCGACGTCGTTCGCGACGTTGTCAGTAGAAAATGCAAAATGAGAGACGATCGCTCGGCGAGAGTGATGGGAAAAGCAAGGAAATGCCCTCGTTGTCCGGATCAAGCGACTGTGCGCGGGCTTGACTCTAAATTCGCCCAGCCGTTCTCGCCCGCGAATTCGCGGGCAGAATTTATTCGACGCGTCTTGCCGCCATGGCAAAAATTCGTTCAAGTGTCATAAGTGTCCGCGAGCAAGCGGACACGAGCCCGAGCATGGCAATCGCGCCGTTGCTGGTGGCTGTCTGACGTTATTAAATGCGATTGCGCAACTTGCCGCGCGCGCGCGCGAGAAGCAACGGCTTCTCCAAAGGACGCGCGCATTATGACACCGCGGTATGTAACGCGGCCTCTATGGGGCCTGCGCTACGTCACGTCTGCGGAGTGCCTGCGGTTTTGTATTACATGTAATACGCCTGCACACGATCGTCAGGAGCGTACGCGGATCGGAACCCGATCCCGGAACGCGCCGCTCGATCTCTCGCGCGTCGCGCCTCCGCGACGCGACTCCGACGCTGTTTTGATCCTTGACGGTGATCTATGATTAGTGGGTGTGCCGGAAAGCTCCGTGTC